GCTTTCTCAAAATCACATAAAGTCATATTATAACATCGACTGAGATAAAGAATAAAATGAAATATTAAAAACACGATGTATCTCGCTGCATTGCGCGAGTACTCTTCTAGTATATATATATACACACACTTTATATTTCTTTAAAAGAAAGAAAAAAAATAACTGAAATATCCATCATTTAATTATAGTTAATAGGAAAAGATAATGACCGTTAATACATTAGTTAACTGAAAACCCAAATCTTTTACAAACCCAATACATTAGTTTAAAATAAATGGATAAATTGCATAAAAAGTAACGTATTTTAACTTGATTCCTGTTTTGGGTAACGTACTTTCAAAACTTCTTTTTTGGTACCTAAGATGTAAAAGTTTTAAACATTTAAGTACTCAGGTAACCGGTTGAAGCATTAATCAGTTATCATGTTAATGTCGCAAGTGATGCGATATCCAACTCAGTATTATTTGCTAACATGTGTATCTTAATCTAAAATTAGTTTTTATGTATTGTAGTTTATTTAAAGAAAGAGTTAATGCTTCAACCGGTTACTTGTGTACATAAATATTTAAAATTTTACATCTTAGATATAAAAATAAAAGTTGTAAATGTATTTTATCTAAAATAGGAATTCAATTAAAATACGTTATTTTTTAATACAATTTACCTTAAAATATAAATCATATTTAATGCTTATTAAAAAAAAAAAAACAGAATTTGCTGGACAAAACATAACCCGAGGATTCGTTGGCATCTTTAATATTTAATTAACTTTAAGAGTAAACTACAAATTTTGTCCATGCAGTTTGTGAAAATAACACGTTTAGTCCTTATAGTTTTGAAATTACAAAATAATCATCATACTTAGTAAAAAGGTCCATATTTGACCATTTCATCTAACAGTCGTTAAATGAGTGACATTTTTGTTCTTTTATCAAATTTCTTTGCCTTTTTTCCAAATCAAAAACTACAACAACCAAAACTATAAAATCAATTTTGATCGAATAAAAGATAAAAAAAAACGATAAAAGAATAAAAATAACTGTCATTTAACAAAATTGTTTAACGACAGTTTGAGAAAGGGACTAAATCCAGACATTATGCAAACCATGATACTCATAGTGTAATTTTAATTTTGTAGAAACAAAAAGTATTATTTTCGACAAAATCAAAGTGACCAGATTTATAGTTTACTCTAAATTTAAATACACAGTTCAATAATTCAAATCAGTGATTGGTTGGTAAACAAATCATTAGTGTTTGACCACTTGACTTTTACAACACATTCTTATCTCAACGTCATCAGTGACGGTGACGTTTTTTTGAAAAACTTACGATCCATATTATATTGTCCAGATTAAGTTGGGTATTTTCAAAAAACCGTTTTTAAACGAAATTATTTTTAATTATATATAGTTTAATCTGTATTCGGTATATTGTATCATCGGTTGGCACTTTGTTAATCGGTTTTTACTGTAACTGATAGAAAATTAATTATCTGACTCTTAGTTATCAAATAATCATAAGCAGATATAAGTCACGAAAACAGAGGTTGAAAGAAACCATTTTTCTAACCTCGAGCTCAAACGCAGTGTAACAAAATCGAGAAAAATGTTTGAGTGTCTTAATTTTAATTTTTAAAATAAATAATATATTTAAATTAAACATATTTTTATTTTAAAATTTTTGAATATAAATGACGTAAGCAAACTTAATCATTTTCGGAAATTCCAAACGTTATTGTCTGCTAGAAAATATATTCTCTCTCTTACGTCATCGGTGATGCTTTAATAGTAACATGGATATTATGGTTGAATCATTCATCCAGCCTATCTTGCCCAACAAGTTTAAAGGATTTTGCAAAAGAGGTCCTCAACTTTTCAAAATTAACCATCTAACCCTTGTTAATTTTTGACGTTACACAGTGTTTGAGAAACTGTAAAATAAAAAACCCCCCGAAAGTTTCGGTATATCTTGTATATCCTATTCAAAAGCACAGCCTAAATAAGGCATGCTGTGTGTATACAGGGGCGGACTTACCATGTAAGGGAGTGTTTGAGATTGCTTATTTGAAACAACTTATTCTTTTTTACAAAAGCACTTATCAATTTATTATAAGTCAGAAGGGTTTAACTTCTTCAAAAACTTCTTATTACCGGTTTGACATAGGTATAAATTGTTTATCCAAACACTCAGAAAATGCTTATTACTGGTGTCATACCGGAATAAGTCAATAAGTTGTTTTTATAAGCAATCTCAAACACCCTTTAAGTAGGGCGGAATGGGAGAAAATTTTGCAAGGGACCCAGCGACACCGAAAATCAATTAAAAAACCAAAAGCCCTCTTGAATTCAAAAAAAAAAAAAAATGAAAAGTCCTTCGAAATCGACAAAAACACTAAAAAAATCCCTTGATATCGACCAAAAAACATTTAAAAATCACTTGCAATGGTGTAATTAGGCTAAAAACACGTCGAACAACTTTGCAGACGTTTAGACTTCCTTAAAGGTGCCCTCACCAAACAAAAAATCTGGATCCACTACTGTATGTACATGTGTGTATATATAACACATCTGATATGCAAAAAAGTAAACAGAATGTTTATGTATCAGTCTCCGTTTTGCAACTCTTTTTTTGGAGAGAAGCATAAAGTTTGTAGAAATAACTTACGGGAGTTTTGAAGATTTTGAAGAGCGTTAGACAAAAAACTAGGTGAGTATGGAAAAATATAAAAATGTACGAATTTGAGATAAAATTTAGATTTGAAAACATCAACCATCGTTAGGTAAGTAAAGGGTTAAAGTCAAGTTAGACATTTCGTGTGATGTATTGACGGTGACACAATCAATGGATACGACTCGACATGTATTAGTTTCTTTCAAGAATTTCGAGCAGTTTACATCAAAATAGAAAGTAACAAAATAGTACTACATCAACTACTGATTCCACAAGCAACATCGATAGATTCTTTCATGTCCGATGCGTCGACACATGACACTGGTGCACGATTTCAGCCAAAAACATCCTTGTTACTTATAAGACACAGTTCCATAATGTGAACATGTATATCAAAACAATATGTACCTGTGTGGGTATATTTATGTATATAACCTTAAACATGATTTTAGTTATGAATAAGTTGTACCAAATGTTTGATGATGAAAAATAAATTACGAGTAGAAAAATAACATATTCAAGATTAGAAGAATATTTTAATGTACCAAAGTATTAACCCGTAATTTGAGTTGGGTTGGGTTAAGATTTTTCAAACCACAAACATTGGATTAAGTTGTTCAAACGTGTTTAACCCGATTAATCCAACCCATAAACACCCCTACCTGCCACTGATAACTTATGATAACTTTGGATTCTCTATAATTCTTTAAGAAAAAACTAATTTCTTTGACCATTTGGTTTCTGATTATGTGAACATATATACCAAAAACATCATGTGTGAACATTTTGAGGAAGTCAAAGGTCAAGATTTCTAGAACTTTCCATTCCATTAATTTGTGATAACAAGGAATCAAGAAACTTCATTTGAGGTTCATCTAATCTTAAACAAATAGAAGAACAGACTTTTGTATCTGGCAAATTTGAACAGCAAAAGGCGGCCCCTTGCTGTCATCTGGATATATATATTATATACGTATATATGTATATATATACTCTCTCTGGTCTATTAGCATAACTCGCACATAGTCATTAGCGAAGTATCTTCGAAAAACCCTAAAAGAATCTAATTTTGCTGTCACCCTCTTTCTCTGATTCTTGAAAATTTCCAAAGATGCCTTGGTTGTTTGCATTCAAAGGGAAATCTGGATTTTCAGCTAAGAACACAGCTGAAGATGTTACTGAAGGAGTTGATGGCCATGGCTTAACCGCCATTGTTACAGGTCTTTTCTCTTTCTCCTTCAAATATTTACAATTTCTGGAACTTTTTTGGATGATTTTTCTTCAAGATTTCATCTGGGGTTTGTGTTTAGAAGGGAAGTCAACTCATGAACTTTGAAAATCTTGACTTTTGCGGTCTGTTTGATGGGTGATTTGATCTATTTGTTGCTTAAAGATTGTAGAAGTTGATTAATTTGGAGCAATCAGAGCTTAATTTTACTGTGTTTCATACTCTTTGTTTGTAAAGAAAAGATTAAAACTTGACTCAAGAATGGTTATTTATGTTTGTCTGAACAAGTGAGTAGAAAAGAAAAGAAGAGAAAAATCCAAAGTACCTGGAGGTCCAAGTTCAAATCTAAGGAGGAATAAAAATCCTCTTGTGGTCACGGAGGTTTAAATATGGTGACTTCGAGCTATCTGCAAAACAGGTGGTCACGTTGAGAATAGTCGGTTCGCCTAGCGGGGGTTGGATATCCAGGTTAATAAAAAAAAGAAAAGAAGAGAGACAAGAACCTAGAAAACAAAAATTTTGGGCTCTGTTTTGGGGTTCAGGGGCTAATAAATGCTCACTACTCCTAAGAACTCACACTCCTTTCAATTTTGGATGTTTGATATATTCTAAGATGGTATCAGGGCCGGGATCTAGCATTAGTTAAAGATCAAACTCTTTTGCTTCCGCTTGGAGGCTTGTTGGTGAGAATACGTGGAACTCCGAAGTTACTCATGGAAAGAATTTTTGAGGAGAGAAGGGAGGTTCCATTATATATAGAGAATAAATAGTCAAAGTGTAGCTGATATTGGACTCTAACATTCCCCCTTTTAACGGAGGCTAGACGGGTACAAATTGTCCTAAAGTGTCGAGAGAGGGTTATACTGTTATTTTTTTGCCTCAAGTGTCGAGTCCCTAGAGTGGTAGAACCTGTCTTTGATACCATGTAAAAGAATATACAGAGAAAGGGAGGTTCCATCAGATATAGATAAGAAACAGTCAAAGTCTAGCTGACGTGTCTTAACGGTATCAGCTAGAAATAGTACATCAAACCTGTATATATGTATATATATGTGTATGTAAAAACCTTTCTACACAATCAATCTATGGTTAAATCCTGCACTTCTCAATCTCCTTTTTTTTTTATAAAGAAAAGATTCTATACGTTGAAGAAGTGACTACAATGTTCTCAAGTCTTGATGCACCATCTTTTTCAATTTGAGCTTCCATAAAAAAGGGTATTCTTTGCCCGGATGACTTCATTTCCTTTTGGGTTCCATTCTTTTGGTTCCAAGTAAATTGGAATGGACTAAACTAAAGAATGTGCTCGACAAATCTTGAGACATTTAACTTTACTTTTTGTGGGTTCAAGCAATCAAGCCAGAAGGCGGTTTGGACTTTAGAGTCGTTTAAAGTTCAAAGCTTGAAACTTTTAACTTCAATTTTTCTGGGTTCAAGCCAGAAGGGGATTTAGAGTCATATAAAGCTGAAATCTTGAAATATGTAACTTTTACTTTTTGTGGGTTCAAGCCAGAATGTGGTTTAGACTTTAGAGTTGTTTAAAGCTCCAAGCTTGAAACATTTAACTTTAGTTTTTGTGGGTTCAAGCCCCAAGGGGGTTTAGAGTCATTTAAAGCTCAAATCTTGAAATTTCGAACTTGAATTTTTGTGGGTTCAAGCCAGAAGGGGGTTTAGAATAGTCTAAAGCTCAAAGCTTGAAATTTCCAACTTGAATTTTCGTGGTGTTTGAGCCCGAAGAGGGTTAAGAGTCATTTAAAGCTTAAAATCTTGAAATATTTAACTTCAATTTTTGTGGGTTCAATCCAGAATTCATAACTAGTTGTGTCTATAAACATCACAATATCGTTATGGTTTTACATTTTTCCTTTTTCATCATCTAAGAAGTTTGCTATTTTCCAGGACCAACAAGCGGTATTGGCCTAGAAACCGCACGTGTTCTAGCTTTGCGCGGTGTTCATGTAGTTATGGCCGCTAGAAATGTGGAAGCTTGTAATAAATGTAAAGAAACCATAATGAAGGGTTGCCCTAGTGCCACCATTGACGTTATGGAGCTCGATGTAAGTTCACTAGAATCTGTCAGAAACTTCGCAAATGCGTACCTCTCCAAGGGTCTACCTCTCAACATCCTAATGTAAGCTTCATAAACACGATTAGCTTTGTTTTTTTCCACACATTTTTAACGGAAACAATTGCTCTACTCCTTGGGATAGAGGTTAGGTCTGTCTACGTTCCACTTTCAAATCCCACCACAAGGTGGAATATACCTGGATTGTTTGGTAGGGAAAAGATCAAATGAGAACCATAAATATTTTTAGAACCGTGAGAACCTGTATATGCATTGTGTGAGTATATGCATCAATGCGTATGTACTTGTACATAGAGGGAGGTTCGGGGGAAACCCCTAAAACAATAAAAAAGTGAGGAACACCCTGGTAACTTTCCATTTGGATGGTATGCACATGTGCATACAAGTAACTGAAGCTGTTTCTTGGTTTTATGCATGCATGCATGCATGTTATGCACAAGTGCATACCGGACAAATTGCTTACAAATTACTTGTTTACACATGTGTATACCATCCAAATGAACGGGATGAACGGTTAACAAGGTGTTCCTCAGTTTTTCATTTGTTTGCGGTTTTCTCTTGAACCTGACTCCTTGTATGTATAGTAATATACTGACTGGCAAAATACATACTTTGATAGTATATATGCATCAACGCATATACTTGTTCTCAAATTATTTATGGTTCTCATTTGAACCTTCCTCTTGTTTGGTTTTGTCGCATGGTTGGTTTAATCAGTTTAGAGTGTATAGGTCTAACCGATTGTTTGTTGTCGTTTGTAGTTGTAATGCAGGAGTGATGGCTTGTCCATTTTCCCTTTCTAAAGACGGAATTGAGAATCAGTTTGCGACTAACTATCTTGGTATGTCTCGATTAATGTTATGCTTATGTAGAGTGCTTGTTTTGTATTAGAAAACATTCTTTTCCTGACATTAGACGTGTTTTTTCTTGTAATCTAGGACACTTCCTTTTGACGAATCTTTTGTTGGATACGATGAAAAGTACCGTGAAAAATTGCGGGATTGAAGGGAGGATCGTCATAGTTTCATCGGAGGCTCATCGGGTGAATTACAATGGGGGAATCGCGTTTGACAAGCTACACGACGGAAAAGGGTAAAATCCATTCTTGATGGTACCCGAATAATAAAACTGAACAAAACAAGCCCGGTATATCCCACATAGAAGTGGGGTCTAGGGGATAAGATGTATGCAAACCTGACCTCTGCACCAAAGGGTAGAAAGGTCGTTTACATGGAATATAGTCTTTCTCCATCCCAAAATAAATGTCCCAAATGAAAAAGACAGTTTTAGAAATATGTAATCATTACACTTTTTAATTAACCAAATTACGATTTTACCTTTCATAATAGAGGGAGTAATTGATTTCTCCATCTCATAGTTAAAGGGTAGAATTGGAACGTAATATATTTGTTGATGTATCATTGTTATGGTACTAGAACTCACCTCTCACCCGATACCCATGGTTGGTTTTTCAGATATAGTAGTTTCTACGCCTATGGTCAATCAAAGCTTGCTAATATTCTGCATGCTAAGGAGCTAACGAATCGCCTCAAGGTAATTGTTAAGATCAATAATTGCAATATTGTAACTTGTGAAGTCTGTAATACATACAAAGAAGGTGGGGTCAGGGGTGGGATGTAAGCAGAACTGTCTTCTACCCTGAAAACAGTCGTTCTACTCTTTAGGGTAGAGAACAAGTCTGAATGTGTCCCATCAGGGTCTGGATGGGATATACACATTAGAAACAACCACTCTACTTTTTGGGGTAAAATACAGGTCTCTGTACATCCCGGATGGGATATACATAGTGGAAACATCCCTCTACTTTTTGGGGTAGAAGAGACAGTTCTGCATACATCCCATCCCAGACCGCACATCTGGATGGGATGTGTATCGCCTTAAACTTTTTAGGGTAGAAAACAGGTCTGTATATATCTCATCCTCCAGACCTCACTTCTGTATGAGATATACTGGGTTTGTTTGGCTAAGTCCGTGTTGTGACAACTAGCGTGTTTATTGTCGACTACAGGAAGAAGGGGTAAACATAACGGTGAACGCATTGCATCCTGGAGTTATTTCAACCAATCTTGCTCGTCACTCGACCTTTATGACAGGTAATGTTCAAAATTTTGGCACGGTGGTTTTAAAAAACAAGATCTTTCTCGTTTTCATCGTACTTATGTCGTTATTTTCTTAACATAGTTTGCGTACACGGAATCTTCGGTGCCATTCAGAAAAACGTCCGACAGGTTCATTCTTTTGTTTCTTTGCGTCTTTCCACATTCCCATTTGGTGCGTGTTGGGTAAAAACCGGGCCTTTTAACCGGTCCTGGTCCTTCCACACCAGATTTTATTATTATTTAGGGTCTGTTTACCAAAACAGATGTCAGTGGTTGACGATTTGATTTGGGTTTTCAGGGAGCTTCAACGACATGCTTTGTGGCATTGAGCCCAAAGGTGAAAGGGGTTAGCGGTGAGTATTTTGCCGACAATAATGTGGCTAAACCGAGCGGTGCGGCTAGAGACCCCGAGTTGGCCAAGAAGCTGTGGGAGTGCGGTACCAAGTTAACCGCTTCTAAGTGATTCACGAGAGCTTAATTGTTCGTTCTGCTGTAACATAATCTTCGTTCTGATTCTTTCGTTTTTCTTTTTGTTGTGAATATGGTGTATGATCGTTTTGAGTGTTGGTGTTTTTGTATGGTGTGTAAAGTGTATTTAATGAATTATTTGGAATGTTTGTTTTTGTGTGTATACAAAAATAAAAGAAATTAAAGGTCAAGCTTTGCGTATTTTTATGACGTTAAAAGGGACTGTTTGGTAAGAGGTATTAAGCAGTTATTAACAGGTGTCTCGAGTTGAATCCAAATCTTTCACTCGCTTTTTAATACATTCAATGAGTTTCGTTCTTTTACAAAGTCAAGACTTTTATACACATATACATAGGGTTGGGTTCATGTGAGACCAACCAGTTTTCGTGAGATCCGTGGAACCATTTTTTTACACTTGAAACTTCACAGCAAAAAGCTGCGAAGGTAAAAAAAAGCCGAATCTTCACAACAAAAAAACTGTGAAGGTTACCTTCACAACATTTTGCTGTGAAGTTTCAAGTGTAAAAAAGTGGTCTCACGAAAATAGGCTGGTCTCACGTGATCCCAAGTCTCTCTCTATATAACAATATGTGTGAAAAGGCAGTATTTGTGCTCTCATTGGTGAAACATTGAAGATTGTTCTTTTTTCACGTATAAAAAGTGAACGTTTCACATATGAAACATCACTCTATTTTCATTTTACATATATAAGATAACGCATAAAAACTAGGTTTAGAAGATATGGGAAACAAAACTTCCAAGTCATTGGGGGAAATTGTTCAAATTAAATGATTTTAATTAAGGGGGTGTTTGGAATTGCTTATAAAAATAACTTGTTGACTTATTTTGGTGTGACACCGGTAATAAACATTTTTTAGTGTTTGAATAAACAACTTATACTGGTGCCAAATCGGTAATAAGAAGTTTTTGAAGTAGTTAAACCCTTCTGACTTATAATAAGTTAATAATCGTTTTTGTAAGAAAAAATAAGTTGTTTCAAATAAGCAATCTCAAACAAACGAAAGATCCTAATAAAAAACAGAAAAATAAAAAATAGAGAAACAAAGAAATGGGCTTAATCTTTGACGTTATGAAATGGGCTTAATCTTTGACGTTATGAAATGGGCTTTGGATTATATCTAATTCACAAAAAGATGTCTTTTTTGAATACCCTCTGATTTTGGGATTCAAGTTCTTGGCGTTTGATCAAAATTTCGAAGAGCAAAAAATGTGGATTTTTGGGAGAAAAGGGGCATCTGGGTTTTCAGTTTCTTCAACAGCTGAAGATGTCACTGCTGGAATCGATGGAACTGGTCTTACCGCCATTGTTACAGGTACTTTCTCTATCTTATATGAACTCTGTTATCGTATTTTTAAGATTTCCCTCATGGGTTCTTCTTAATTTGTTGCTTTCTTATCAATTATATTTGGAATTGAGTATGAATTCTGATGAATCAGTTGTGGGTATTCCCTAAATTAAGAAAACTAGGGTTTGATTTCTTTTGGGATTATAGAAAATATGAGTTTGTGGTGGTCCAATATGGAGTTTTGATTGTAATTTGATTGCTTAATCATGGTTTAGTATCGAGAATCTTACCGGGTAAGAGGTATAGCAAGTATCGAGAATCTTTGCCGGTAAGTGAGGGAGAAGCCTCTTACACGGTTAGCGCTTACCGACAATCGCCGAAAGTGTTACTCTTAGGGAGGATGGTGACTATTGCCGGTAAACACTTGGGGGCTGTTTGGTTGGTTTTCTGTTAAGTTCTTAATGGATAAAGCTGTCCGTGTAGATTAAATAGTCTTTGTAGGTTGGGAAGGTTTTTGTTTGGGAGAGTTTTTCATAGGCGGAAGGAGCGTGTTTTTTAATAGGGAGAAACATGTTTGGAAAAATTCTTGACTTTCTGTATAAATCTCTTCCTAGAAGCTTACTGGTTAAGCCACTTTCTACATCATTAAGCCACTACCAAATAGTCATGCATAGCTGTTAGTCCCTTTAAGCTCATTAAGCTGCTAACAAACAGGCTCTTGGTAGTTAAGATTGTAATTTGATTGCTGAATCATTGGTCCATGATGCTGACTAGTAAGCTAAGGAAGGCATTCTTATTTGGTCAGTGATTGGTGCTGACCCAGATAGCACTCTTACCTAAGTTGGTGCTTATCCAATTTGTGTTGGTAAATGGCCGGTAAAAATCCCCTAAGTCTGCGGTCTTGCTAATGGAATAAACACACCATTCTAGAATTCACTTTTTCTTTGTTACATGTTTCTAATAGTGGCGGCAAATTTGTACCAAACCAAACCAAATCAAACCACAACATGTGCACCAACTGTATCAATTAAACTGCAATTACAGTCTGTTGGTAGTACCGTTCCAAGTATGCAAACTTGGTTGTTAAAAACACTTTGGGCATCACATGTATTACTTGGAAAATCAAAATGTCACTCAAAATTGAACAAAATGGCAAGCTTTCATATATGTAACTTGAAGTTTGTACAAAACCAGTACCAATATATACTAATCGAAAAAGTTGGTATCAACTACCAAGTACAGTTGGTATGGGATTTTGTGTATCAGTTATAATTGGTTGTTACATTGTATTGGGGGAAAAAAGCTTGGTACCATACCAAATCCTCCCCTATTTGCTAATGTAAGTGGCCACAATAATGTGTTTGTGTACGTTCAGGAGCTACAAGCGGTATTGGCACCGAGACGGCACGAGTCCTAGCGATGCATGGTGTACATGTAGTTTTGGCGGTAAGAAATACCGAAAAAGGTAGAAAAGTTAAAGAAACTATACTTAACGAAACTCCTAATGCTAAACTTGATGTAATGGAGTTAGATCTTAGCTCTCTGGCATCTGTACGGACTTTTGCAGCCGAATTCGTTTCCTCGGGTCTTCCGTTGAATATTCTCATGTAAGGAACTATGTAGTACCCTCTCCGTCCCAAAATAATTGCCCACATTTCTATTTCAATTTGTCCCAAAATGAGTGTCCACTTCCAAATTAAGTAGTGCCCTTGATTATGAGATGGAGAATTTCACTACCCCCTCTGTTATTAAGGGTAAAATTGTCATTTGAAGTTAAGTAAAAAGGTTAATAATCACACATTTCTGACACGGTCTGTCTTTTTCATTGACATTTACTTTGGGACAGAGGGAGTAGCTCTTATTTAAGGTTTCATCTCTAATCCAATTCTTGTTGTTATTGGGTTGTTTGGTTGGTTTTCATCAAGTCCTGTATGGATAAACGTGTCTGTATATATTGGGAAGGTTCTTTTGAGAGGGCTCTTCATATTGAAGGAGCGGTTTTTTCAATTGGGAAGGCAGGTTTGGAAAAAAACTTGGCTTTCTACATTAAACCCCCCCCCCCCCCCTTAGAACTTAGAAGCTTATTGAATAAGCCACTTTTTATATTAAGCCACTACCAAACAGTCATCTATAGCTGACAGAATAAGTTGGTGAGTCCCATTAAGCTGCTAACAAACAGGCCCTTGTATCCGTTTATCCCTTTTTTTGGTCTTTCATTTCTTTTCCCACTTTTGGACGTCAGGGTATTCATGGAAACAACTGTGTTATGCTTTGGGGTGCTTTGGGGTATAGGACAAGTCTTCATACTATCCCATCCCTCTGATCCTACTTTCGAGTGGGATATACTGTGTTTCATACGGTTTACAATGAAACTTCCGGATTGACTTGATTTTGACTTATAGAGTTGGTTGTCTTCTATCTAATTTCCTACTTCCAAAAACGTAAGAATTAAGATTGGAAAGTCTAGTTGTAGTTGCAGTTCAACTAAATCTTCCATCCCTAAGGTGCGTTTGGTGCACTGGACAAGACAAAACAGAACAAGAATAGAAAAAGGATCACTGTTCATGTTCCATGTTTGGCAGGACTTTTATGTGGAACATAGTGGAACAACGTGTTCCACCCCCATCCCATGGAACAAGGTGGAACAAACATATATTTTACCAATATAACCTCAAAATAAAACCTATTTCTCTTCTAAAACATCAAATATGCCTCATTCTTTAAATTTTATTTATCGTTTTTTATGCTCTTTAATCTTTCACTTTACTATCCTCAAAATATTATTTCTATACGGTTTCTATACTTTGGTTAATTTATGTAATTTATTATATATTAATAATAAAAAAAATATAGAAAAGGTAATAAAAGAAAAATCGGAAACTACATAAACTTTTTATTTTGGTGTCATTTGAATCGTTGTGCCAAGAACTTTCTAATGATATATTTTGTTATAAAAAATATTTATTTTATTATAATTTAATAAAGTACATAATTTAATCAAAATATATAAACAACACATTAGGAGTAAATTGGTCATTTTATAAGTTCTGTCTTGTCTAGTTTTTTCTTACCAAACGCCGAACAACTATCCTGTTCTGTCCTATGATGTCTGGATACCAAACGCACCCTAAAGTCCTAAATCCGGTTCTGGTTCTTGTCACTATCCTTAGATAGACCACAAGAACCGGAATCAGAACCACGGGGACTCAAAAGAACGAGCTAGAAGCAATTGTATGAGAGGTTTCCTGTAGGTATGCTATGTTTTATTGTTGCAAATCGCTTAGATTATTGTTTTTCTATTGTTGTAAGTAACAATGCAGGGGTTATGGCTCCGCCATTCACGCTTTCGGAAGACAAGATCGAACTACAATTTGCAACTAACCATTTAGGTATGAACGTTGGAATCATGTCCATATGTATCTTTTTTTTTTTCGTATTTGAAGATGTGATATACTACAAGAACCGTTTTTCAGGTCATTTTCTTTTGACACAACTTTTACTCGAAACCATGAAACGTACTTCACACGAACAGAAGAAAGAAGGAAGGATAGTCAACGTATCATCGGAAGCTCATCGATTTGCATACAAAGGAATTTATTTCGATAATTTAAATGATGAATCGAGGTACGTAAATGAATCCACACCTTCTTAAAATGGTAGGATGCATATGGCTTTGTCATTTATCCTGAGGTTTGTTTTTATAAATTATTTATAAAGAAAGAAATTCAATTCCATTCCAAATCCTACCAACCAAACACACTAAAGATTCCGAATCCTTCAAATTTCTAAATCCCTCAAAAACATTCCATCAAACCAAACGGGCCCTAAGGGTACGTTTGGTATTTGGACTAGACCGAAAGGACTAGATAGGACTGGATTAGACTAGAGGGTCGAGAGTGAGGGGTGAGGTAGGCAGGTGAAAGATCTGTGGAAGGTTCTAGGGCTTTAATTTGACATGGGTAGTTTAGTAATTTATCCACCTTGTCCAATCTCATTGATTTTTGTTCCATCTATTTTGGTGAGACAGAAATTTTATGTTTTTGTCCCACCGTTCAGTGTCATGCCAAACGTGGGACAACAAGTTTTTGTACTGTTCTGTCCTGCGTACCAAACGCACCCTAAAAGATAGAGCAATTGTTTATGTATGCTATTAGTAATTAGTCAATGCACTTTCACAAGCTACCTGAACTTGTGCGCTTAAATTCTATTCCGCAGTTATAGCCCCATGTACGCGTATGGACAATCAAAGCTAGCCAACATACTCCATGCTAACGAGCTAACGAGACGCTTCAAGGTATTTGCGATGTTTGACTCTGACATACAATTTAAAGGGGGTGTTTGACTTTTAGTCAAGTCTCTGAAGTGCGAATTGCATTAAAAATGGAACGCACTTTGTTCTTATTCTTATTTTGAGGAACCAACTTTTAGAAGCTCTATTTTCGTAAAATGGTTTAATAATTCTTCTTTGTACTCCCACCGTCCCAAAATAAATGTCCATGATGAAAAAGGCACACAATTTTAAGAATGTGTAATCATTACACTTTTTAACCAACAAAAAGACAATTTTACCCTTGATTACGGAGATTTTTTTTTCTCCATCTCATAATTAAGTTTAGAATGGGAAGGACTGGAAAGTAGACATTTACTTTTAAAAGTGGATACTTATTTTGGAATGGAGGGGTAAATAGGTTCCAAAAATACGTTCCATTTTGATGCAATTGTTGCATGATCTCGAGCATAACATTCTTTCGTACCAAAATTCAGGAAAATGGGGCGAACTTAACTGCAAACGCGCTTCATCCGGGATCAATTGCAACGAATCTTCTACGTTATCACAGCTTTGTTGACGGTACAACTTGAAATCCTTGCTTTTCTTCATCATACACATTAGGAAACAACCGAGATATTCATTAGACTAGATGGACAGTTGAGATTGGTTTGTATGGTTCGTACTAATGGTTGGGTTTGTATATGAAACCATCTCTATATACATTGAGAGTAGTAAGCAAATAAGAGAACACGAAAACGGCAAAATCACGTGCAAAGTCACATGATTTTACACTACAGTTAATGCAAGGGTGTCAGGGCAACATGGCCCGCGACCCCAGATTGTGACCAAAATTGCGTGAATCAAATGTGGTTTATAACTGATTTTTAGTGTAAAATCACATGTGATTCGACCGTTTTCTTATTCTTTTATTTCTTTATTGTCATCGTATGAACCCGACTCTCTCTCTATATATCTGGTTTCGTTTTGATGTGACATTTCTTCAAAATGTTATGTTGTTGACTTCAGGTGTGGTCGATTGGGTCGGCAAATACTTCTTGAAGAACATTCCACAGGTTTGATAAAATTTAAAGCACCGCATTTGGTTCAAAGTCTTGAAAACAGCTTATTAAGCATCGGGTACTCTGCTTATGATCTCTAGGGGGCGGCAACTACGTGCTACGTGGCGTTGCACCCACAAGTTAACGGGATTAGCGGCAAATACTTCATGGACAGTAACGTAGCCCAGCCGAATTCGTATGCCGAAGATGCCGATCTGGCTAAAGAATTGTGGGATATCAGCCTCACCATGGCTGCTCCATAACAAACATTTGAACAAGACTGGTTCGATTAATATCCGGTGTTAGAGATGTTGCTATTTACCAAGCCCCTCTTACTGGTCCGTGTTACTAATCGAGATGTTGACTTGGCAAGTCAAGGGGTTGTTTAATTGGTTTTCCATTAAGTCTTGTATGGATAAAGTTGTCTGTGTAAATTGGGAAGGTTTTTTGTTTGGGTAGTTTTCTTGTAGATGGAAGGAACATGTTTTTTTAATTGAAAGGAACATGTTTGGAAGAAAAAAAAACCCTGGTTTTCTGTATAAAACTCCTCCTAGAAGCTTAGTGACTAAGTCACTTTTTATATCATTAAGCCAACCAGACAGTTATGTATAGCTGACTGAATAAGTTGCGAGTCTCATTAAACTGCTAACAAGCAAACCTTAAGGGAGGATATATACTCGATGAGTGATTAGTGCTAAGCCATACTACACTCTTATCCAATTATCGTTTACCCAGTTTGTGTTGGTAAACCTACCTAACAAAATATCAGTTTTTTTTTATTAACTTGGATATCAAACTAGCTATACGAGCTGACTAATTCTAGGGCGACCACCTGCTTTGCAGATAGTCTAGAGTCCCACATTTGAACCTTCGTGGCCACAAGAGGATTTTTATTCCTCTTTGGATTTGAACCTAAGACCTCCTGGTACTTTTGACCTTTGGAGTCAAGCTCAAACCAATCAGACATCATCCTTGTGGTTTAGTTTCTTTTTATTTTGTACTCATTTTACTAGGGTTTTCGGCCTGCCAGGCATCGGTCGATTTTGATGCGACCTTTTCCACAAGGAAAATTCACGCATTTATGGATTCACGCATCATCGTGAGGACAATTCAACAAGGAAAATGATACAAATGAGAAGTACTGGTCGTGAAATTATAGATTACAATGGATATTCTTTTAAATATCTGAAAGTTGAAATGTTTATCTTTCATTGACGTATTCTGATAATTTATTAGCCACACAAATACAGATACGTAAAACAATTCAAATGGAAAACATCTCAGGATCATCTGTACGATGTGGACAAGCCCGAGCTGGCGAAATTGTCAAGGATATTGAAGAGAGGTTGATTAAAGTCGCATTTAAGAGTTACGTTGGTTGCTCACCAAACCGAGCCGGTGGGTCTTCTTTTCTACCAAGTAACTACAATCGATCAAGTTTAATTTCTTCTCAAACACTTTTTTTTAACTAACCTGGATATCCAACTCGCTATACGAGCCCACTAATCCGAGGATGACCACCCTCTTCGTGGGTAGCCCGTAGTCACCACGTTAGAACCTCCGTGGTCACAAGATGATTTTTATTCCTCATTGGATTCGAACCTGAGACCTCCAGACATGTTGAAGCACTACTAGTTGAAGTCTTCTTCACTTTTTCTCTTAGTTTAAGCTTAGCATTTCATTTTCTTGTATTGAAGTTGTAATCTGCTGCCTACAGTCTCATCATTGTGAGAACATGATTTAGTTTTATTTTAATAAAAGTTACATTTCAGTCTTATTTATTGTCTTATATTATGTTTCTTATGTCTATTATGAGTTAATTACTTATATGGGTGTGAGTGTGAATTTAAATTAAGATTTTTATGCAATATTTGAGTGTTTTTACTCTTTACCACTTCATAAACTTGGTCACTTAAGACGAGATTTAAACTCGACGCGGATAAACCGATCACTTTGAAGTGATAATGTTAGGTCTTAAACCCAGAGATGGGCGGATTCGGAATACAGCTTAAGGTGATGCACAAAGAACTCGAGAGAGTTTTTGATAATTATATAGATATGCGAAATTTGTATGTATTTAGCTAAGGATTAAACATTGGTTATTCATATATCAACGATATATTACATCAATTTGTTAAAAGAGTTCATGTTTATATATATATATATATATATATATATATATATACACACACATACATACATACATTATATTTATATATACACATACACATCCATCCATCCATCCATACATACCTACCTATATATATATATATATATATATATGTTGATTATTAAACAATCATTTACATTTGTACAACCAATACAACTCAAAATCTCAGCCGTTTATTTAATTTGATGAAGATGTGATTTCATAAAAGTTTTGATTATTTTCTAATATAAAGTATTGATCACAATTAATGAACTTTATTCATCTTTCAAATATATTTAAATCATAATAAATGAACTCTCATCATTTCCATAAACATCTCAATTTATTGGGTTGCATTAGTTGTACAAATATAATGAATTGCATTTGAAACAAACTCCGTGTATATATAACCCATAAATTGATAAAATATATATTCAATTCACCTCCCCACCTTCATTTCAATTTGTTTAACATTGATGACGTAATTTATATACACAGACGGCAACAACTTCTGGTGGCATTTACTGTCTTTGCTTTTAAAGCCCATCTGTTTATTCCCCCCCTTATCACTTCCAATTTTCATCCTTCAAATCAGGAAAAGCATAATTAACCAACCACCACATTCACATTCATATATATATATATATACATTGAGGATCACGTAAAACCAGTCTGTTTCATATGACAATACCACTCTTTAATACTTGAAACTCCACAGCTTTTACAGTATGTTGTCTTCTATGATCTATTTGGTGAAATTTCAAGTGTAAAAAAGTAGTGTTACAGGTGTCACGAAAAGAAGCTGATCTCACAACCCCTGTGCATGATATTGAATAAAAACCTGATGATACCATTAATTGTTAAGAGAGGGAATAAGAGATGTGGGGGTCAATGCCAATGTCAATGTCAATATATAGTTCGTGTAAGAAAATATTGGCTTTCTCATTAATAGCCTCCTCTCTTGTTGCTTATATTCTTCTATAAATCCATTCTCTTCATCTCTCTCTCTCCCCCATCTCTCTCTCTCTCTCTCTCAATAAGCCAGTAAGCATACAAATCAATCTTCGTTAAGATATATACATATAGAGGCTGGGTTAGAAGCCTAAAATTGATTAAAAACTCGGGAGCTGTCTACAAACATCAGAAAGAAATATGGACGTGTTATTCATCATGAATTAATGTGTGATTCATGATCAATAACTCACCCATAACACATGTCTACATTCATTATAGATATGATGAGTATTTGTCCTGAAAAGGGATACGTGCAGTGGCGTGCTATACACATTCTCGGGTTTTTAATCAATTTTGGGTTCTAACACCCTCATAACCCTTCATTTGGATGCTATGTTATGTACATGTGTATACAAGTAATTTTTTAGTAATTTGTCAAATATGTACATATGCATACTAGTAATTTGTATACAATTTGTCTGATATACATATATGCATAAAGACCAAAAAAACAGTTTAAAGCATTTATATTTACATGTGTATATCATCAAGATGAATAATTTTACATCTTTTATGGGATTTTCCCTAACCAAAGAGATGTTGCATGGTTTTCCAGGTGGTGGATGTTACGGCGTGGCAAGGACCAGTCCATTATTGTGTTGCCGCAATTGGGTGACCGGATCAGATGGACTCATCAACTGGTTTATTGCTTTTATCAGCTATAGCAGCATACATGATCTGGTTCAAGTCCATCGTACGGTCACTGAGGGGTCCACGTGTATGGCCCATATTTGGCAGCTTACCTGGCTTAATTCAACATGCCAACTGTATGCATGACTGGATCGCCGAAAACCTTCGCACGTGCGGTGGCACGTACCAGACCTGCATCTCTCCCATCCCCTTTTTAGCTCGCCGCCAGGGTCTCGTGACAGTCACGTGCGATCCGAGAAACCTTGAACACATCCTCAAGGGCAATTTCGACAATTACCCAAAGGGTCCGACGTGGCATGCTGTCTTCCATGATCTACTTGGTGATGGGATCTTCAATTCTGATGGTGACACGTGGCTGTTTCAGAGAAAGACAGCCGCGCTTGAATTCACCACGCGTACGCTTCGTCAAGCCATGGCTCGGTGGGTGAGCCAAGCCATTAAGCTTCGGTTCTGCCCAATTTTAGAAACGGCTCAACTTGAGGGAAAGTCGATCGATCTACAAGACCTATTGCTTCGGCTTACTTTTGATAACATATGCGGCTTGGCTTTCGGAAAAGACCCACAAACTTTATCCCCGGGTCTCCCTGAGAATAGCTTTGCAACGGCTTTCGACCGAGCCACTGAAGCCACTTTACAACGGTTTATTTTACCGGAGACTCTATGGAAGCTGAAGAAATGGCTTGGGCTCGGGATGGAGGTCGAGTTGAGCCGAAGCATGAGAGACATAGATGAGTACATGGCAAATGTAATCAATACACGTAAGTTGGAGTTGCTGAGTAAGCTAGACGGTGGGACCCATGACGACTTGCTTTCCAGGTTCATGCGGAAGAAAGAATCTTACACGGATGCATTTCTACAACACGTGGCACTAAATTTCATCCTAGCTGGACGTGACACGTCATCAGTTGCTTTGAGCTGGTTTTTCTGGCTCGTGATGGAGAACCCTAGAGTCGAAGAAGAAATCCTGACTGAGTTGTGTTCAGTCCTGATGGAGACACGTGGAAATGACACGTGTAAATGGCTTGAAGACCCCTTGGTGTTCGAAGAAGTTGACCGATTGACTTACCTCAAAGCATCACTATCGGAAACACTACGTTTGTACCCGTCGGTTCCAGAAGACTCCAAACACGTGATCGCCGACGACTTTCTTCCTGACGGCACCGTCGTCCCCGCCGGCTCATCAATCACTTACTCGATCTACTCAACCGGTAGGATGAAATCCATTTGGGGAGATGACGTTCTGGAATTCAGACCAGAGAGATGGTTATCGAAGGATGGAAAGAAATTCGAGATCAAGGATCAATACAGATTCGTGTCGTTCAATGCAGGTCCACGAATTTGTTTAGGAAAGGACTTGGCTTACTTGCAGATGAAGTCGATCGCCGCCGCAGTATTGCTCCGGCACCGCCTCTCGATCGTGAGCGGCCACCGCGTGCAGCAGAAGATGTCATTGACGTTATTCATGAAATACGGGCTGATGGTGGATCTCCGCCCTAGGGATTTGAGTCCGATAGTGGCAAAGATTGGTTGGCACGAGACGAGTGGTTAAATTCAGACTAAAAATAGAGTATGCTTATTGATTAAGATACACCGTCTGTCTGGTACAGATTGTTTATGGCCGTTGGATCAAAAGTAGATTATATAAATATTGAATATGTGTTTTTATTGTAAACCCTTGATTAAAAATGATCAAATCATTAATGTAATTTTACACCAACGGTCCACGTAGTGACATAGGGATGTGTATGAATCATACATGATTTTAACTCGTAAAATCAAGAATGATGGATTAGATAAGTCTATAAAAGTGTAAAAATATAAAAAAGATAAAAGAAAATTTGGAAAAAAACAACGTGCTCTGTGGCACGCCATGGTATGAATCACGCCTTACAGAAACACTGTAAGTTATTTTTGTAACGACAGAGACACATTTTATGTCATATCATACCATAACATCCAGAGATGCTCATGAGTTTGATTGATCTAGTTAAAGACATTTGAACAACTAAACTCAATGTTTGCGGTTTGAAAAATCTTAACTCAATCCAACCCAAACTAAAGTGCAACACAACCCAAACAGTACGGGTTGGTCGGGTTGATACTTTGATACATTAAAATATTTTTCTAACATCGAATATGTTATTTCTCTACTCGTAATTTCTTTTTCACCATCAACCATTTGATACAACTTATCCACATATTTTACGTATATCACATTCAGCTAATTTTCTCAATTTACATATATATGTTTATAGTTACTGAACATATATACAAATTAGTTATATAAATATGTGAATAGATTGAAAATATGTGTATATAAAGAGCGCATGTGATAGTGTAATTGTCTAATGTGTATATTAATATATATTCAACAATCATATTAAATGCAAGAAATAAAAGAATATTGGGTTCATCGGATTGAGTTAAGTTCAAATAATAGTAATCAAATACCTACGTTTTGAAAATTTTACAATTCGATTAAGCATTGGGTTAAGTTATTTCGCATTGGTATGATCGGATTTTTAAACACAGATGTTATGACATGACTTTTTGAACACTGATTTTAAGAAAAGGAATCAAATAATGCATTAATGACAAGCTGTAAAAAGAATATATTAATGAAAACGTGGGGTGCAAATTTAGGTTGGTCAAAGGTTGTTAGAACGCAACGGCTATTTATTTATGTATTTCATTACGCCTATATTTAATTCTTTCACATTTTTCACATTTTTAATTATTTAATAATTTAATATTTTTATTAAAAGGGTTTTTAGAATATATATATAATGTAACAATAAAAAGAATTAAAATACAATGTCATAAAATTGGGAAAAATAAATATTCGTTATATTAAAGCGTGATTGAGATTACTTATAAAAACAATTTATTGACTTATTCCGGTATAACATCGATAATAAACACTTTTTAGTGTTACAAAAACAATAATAAAAAGTTTTTGAAGAAGTTAAATCATTCTAACTTATAATAACTTGATAAGAACTTTCGTAAAAAAACACAAGTTGTTTCAAATAAGTAATCCCAGATACGTTTTTTTTTCTTAGGAACAATATTAACCATAACGATTACCGGTTTCATTTGTAGTGATCGATGGAACAAAGAATCAAACAATCGATAAAAACACACGAATTCAATTTACAAATTCACGAACTAAAGAATAGTGTCGTTTTTTTCGAACGATCAAAATCTTCTCGCCGAGCTTTGCCAAACTTCGACACATTGTTGATCCTTTCTCGTCACAAACATCTTGTTTCCTCCGAAACCCATATTCGTGATCCTATTTCCGCCCAAATCCTTCGCTCTTCCTAAAACGTTCTTCCTAAAGATTCGATCTTTTCCAATCTTCGAAGAACCCATCAAAACCTCCGACCACAACCCTAATTCCCCTTGTTTCCCGACAAAAACCTGGTTCCCGTGGCTCTCGATCTTGCAACCAACCCCTTCTTTCTTAACGTTATTCGCTTTTCTTGTGTCACCAAGATAATTCCACGAGTTATACGACCCAAAATTCTTTAAATCGATATACGAAACCTCTCCCGAGTTCACTCCGATCTTGAAAACAGCCGAAAGGGTGTCGGAAACCGTGATATCCGAGAAACAATCTGTCGTTTCTTTGATCTCCCAAACTACATTCCCGGACCTTATATCGAAAAACCTTATATTTCCTGAAACCCCAGAAGGACCACTATGAGACCCAGAAGCCATCAACAGATTAACACTCGGAACCCAATTCAATTTCGTCGACGGAATAGCCGAATCAAGATCGGCACCAAAGATTTCATTACGGGCAATCTCCGAAACGACTTTGAAGCTCTCGAGATCGTAAACCATGATCGAATTCGAATTCCTTCGGCCCGATTCGAAGCTAGTGAACAAGAATTCAGGGGAAACCCCAATCGCTTGAACAGTCGAGCTGGATTTGGTCACATTCTCCCAATTTAGGGTTTGTCTAACAAACCCTAAATCAAGATCAAGAATCTGAAGCCCAGAAAAATCCGTGGCACCAGCAGCCACCACATTTGGGGATAAAGCTAACAAAGAATCAATAGCTGTAAAACTGGTCAAAGTCGTTGACTTTCTTTGCAAAGACCAATCAAAAGATGTGATTTTGCTGCCATGGGAGACATGAAGTGATCCGTTTGGCGTTGTCGCGATTGCAGAAGGTGAATCCCTGCCACTCAGAGGCAAAAGCATTGATTTCTCAAGATCAAAGGGTTCGAATTGAGATGGGTTCGATTGAGATTGAACCAGAAGATCAGAAATCCCATAGAAATCTGCTTCAAATATGATATCTTGGATGTGAAAAGCCTTGGCTTTTGATGGCAGATTACCTGTTCTTAAAAGAGAAAGAAGAATCGAAAACAGTTCAGGGTCTCGATCAATAAAAGGGATTGAATTGTGGGTGGATGAATCAAAGAGATCAGAGAAGAGGGTCTTGGAGCCAGCAAGGGTTAGGGTTTGTTTGGTGGTTTGAAACAGGTGACCACCCACATCAATGGTGATGAGATTGGTGGATGGGTGGTGGGTTTGGTGGTGATTAGATGAAAACCCATTTGAAAGAGGCATCGATTGTGAGAATGGAGGCATTTTTTTTCAAGATTTTGGTGGTTTTTTTTTGAAGATTTGAGAGAAAAGATGGAAGGTTTTAATGGTGGTGGGGATGATTGGGGTTGGTTTTGTAGGGTGGGGCTAGGATAGATGGTGGTCAAGGTCAACAGAGGAGGGCTGGTAGTTTGTTTTAGAAGAAAGCCAAGCTGGACCAGATATTTGGGTGATTTTGTGAAGGTTTTTTTGGAAACTGTTTAATCAAAGAGAGATTCCAAGAAAAGTGGAATATGCCACCCCCATAAAAGGCTTTTCTTCTAGAAACTTCCAACATTGTAACATGTTTTATTTTAAATTATCTATAAAATAATACTTTTAATAAGTTTTTTTTTCTATCTTAATTTAAGGGGGTGGTTAATGGCACTCTTATCATGTGCTAATGGCATCCTTAAGTAGCCTTTAATCATTTATGTTTTATAATTTTTTGTGTTTTTTTGTGATTATTACTTTTTATTTTATTATTCATTAAAGAAAATTTTAATTAATATATATTATTTATTTTATTTTCTGTTTTATTTATTTATTTATATTATATTTTAATTAATATAAATTATTAATAAATATATATTATTCATT